AATAGCCATGGCGTCTTGATAATTGAGTTGCATGCTACGCGGACTGCTTGCAAAGGAAGAGGGCAGTGTGACGCGACGGCCAACGGCGTGTTGCTGCGGAACATCCTGTACGGCGAGATGGTCTATCAGACCCTGGTAGGATTCGGAGCGCAACTGGTCCTGGTTGTTTCGCAAATAGCTCAACCTGCTCGCCTCGACTCTGACATAATGGTCACACACATATTGCTGAAACAAAAATCGACCGTTATGGATGGCACTGAACCGAGCGTTCGGCTCGTTTAAGCCGTCGTAACGAACGACCAAACGATAACATGAATACTCCTTCGCTGAAACGTTTTGATTGACGCGGGTGCGGCGCGGTCCTTCGTGCGGCATGTACGCGGCCCATCCGCGTTCGCCATGCGGGAATAATAGCGGATAGAGCAATGGGTCGGTATGACGGCTGGTGGAAGGTATTCGCCGATAGTTGACGTTGGGGTTCGGATTCCGATCGTACACAACAAAGTCCACGTTTTCCGGAGGATCGCCGTCGTTTCCAACGAACACTGCAGCGATCTCACGCACGGCCGGCTCGTTTCGTCGTCCTGGGTCCCTGGAATCGCGTACAAAATACATACTTACAGTCCGAGGCGGTCTCGCCGGATTTTCCACCGCAGCCGCAAACTGTTCTCTGTTCCATACTTCCGTCATATACATGAACATTCGGGCGTACGGGTTGATCTCTCACAGCAGCATGTCCAGTCTCTCCAAAAGATCCGGTCTGCACGCGGAGTTGACGGGGTTTCGAATGCGGCTCTGGGTCGCCAACCACGTGTCCACAAAATACAGTTGACAGAACCGTGGAATAGCGTCCGATCCGGCGGCCGCGTCACTGATCAGATGATACGTTTGGCCGTGCATGACGAATGTTCTGGGTCTTCGTCCTGGGGGTGCTTGGAAATCTTGTGTGACCAGAGAAGCGAACGCCATGGCATTGTTGTACTGACGGACCTCTTTCTGAAAATGCCTGTTCTCCAGGCCGTCTTCGCTGAGCAGCCTCCGCAGTGCAAGTGGAACCTCTCCCAACGCTCTGTCACCTGTCAATAAAACTTTACCATCCCCGCAACAAATAAAATGCTCACCAACAAAATGTCTCGCGTAGCAGTGAGGACAAACGCGATCCATCGGTCCGATAAATAGGCGGGCGGGTGCCGGCACGGTAACTCGGGCGGCGATCAGTTATTCGACGACAACGATGTTGGCCATCAAGTCTTTATCATTGTTCTGTTCGTCAACCAAGTCAACGTCGTTCACCGTTACCACTTCCACCTCGATGTCTTCGACCGCTGCTACTGGCGCATCTGGTAACACGCCATTCCTCGGTACCGCGTCACGGCGGTGAATACGTCGAACGGCTATAACCGTGAAGTCGTCACGATCGAAATGCCTCGAACACAGTTTTGACATCGCGAGTACTTGGTTCCGATTGATTCCGTGGCGCGAGACAAAATCTAACCATTCATTCCGAACCGTCTGGTCCGTCGTCGGGAATTTATGAACGGAAACGCCTACGCCGCGGACAGGCCCACATATGACACACGTGGGGGCCATTGTAAAAAAATCTGAAACAAAAAAAAAGAATTAGACAAAAAAATAACTGACAATTTAAACTGAAAAGTTCTAATTGACAGCACAGCAATACAGCATTCGATTTGTAATGATCAACAAACAAATGACAGCAGAGTAAAAGCAGAATTACATCCAAGTGCTTCGACGTCCATCGAAGCACAAACGGCTACGTTCAACGGGAAAATCCACGTGACCTATGCGACGGGATAGCGTTGTTCGACGGTGCAGCCAACATTCACGTCATTCGACGGTTTAGCCAACATTCACGTCATTCGACAGTTTAGCCAACACTCGCGGCGTACATGCAAATAAACATCTCAACACATTATGAATGCACTATATTACATTTCAATATATTTATTGTTCTACACCTGTGTGTTACAAAATTTCATATTATACAGCTTTGAAATGTATAGTGTATGAATAATACGCAAACCATATCGATAGTTTTCATAACACAGTATACAACACAATCATTATAAAGCAAATATTTTTAATATTATACAACGTTCCAGTAAGATACGGTTTAAGTAAATGAACTAATATACTAAGACTATAATATTGTCTTATAATATTAGGAAAACAACTAAGCTCTTGGGTACAACAGTACTACACTCATGTTCGAGCACTTGTTAATTAATTACTCTGCGAAACACTATGAGCAAAGTAAACAATAAAGTTCAAGATATTTCAAAAAAACACTTATATCATATTGGAATAAGAGCGATAAAAATTATAATTCATACCATGTTTTATTTATTTTATAGCTAAGCATGTTTCGAATAGTATCAATAGAAGCATTAACAAATATTTATCACACTAACTCTATCTCCCTCTATTATTTGAAAAAATAAATCAAATTGAATGTGTTTAACATATTTAAAAAACAAATTTATAATTATTTAACATAATTTAAAGACACAATTAAATCATAGTCGAGCGATAGACTTAATAGACATATGTGAGAAAAATAATTGTAAAAAGTGTTCCATAGAATTTGATTGTTAATTTTTACAACTGTTTGTGATTATAAAAATACCATTGAAGCCAATCATATTCCTTCTCAATGAAAACATCCAATAGCTCTCTCCTAATATTTTTTAGTAAAACAAATAAAAGTTAATGTAAAATATAATGTAGTGCGAAGAAGATTATTTACAAAAAAGGTAAAAAACATATTTGGTATTCTTATTTCATAATATATTGGAAAAATAAATCAAATGTAATGTATTTAACATATTTAAAAAACAAATTTACAATTACCTAATATAATTTAAAGATACAATTGAATCATTGTCGAACAATAAAATGAATAAAAATATGTGTTTTTACAGTATAATTATAAAATGTATTGTATAATAGTGTTTCTAAAAATTTCATTAATGGCAATCACATTCCTTCTCAATGAAAACATACAATGACACTGTCCTAATAACAAATAAACATCATAAAAATTAATTTAATTGACAAATTTTAAAAACACATTTAAAATATATATAGTGTAAAGAAAATAATTTAAAAAAAAAGGTAAAACTTATTGGATTTTCTTATTTACATTATATCATTAAAGTTTTCATTTCCTTTCTTCTAAGTGTAAGGACTGATTGTGTAGGACTATTTCACTGAAACCGGTAAAAATAACATTCTAAACATATGTAATTGAAAAAAGAGTTAAAAAATGCAATACGTACCATGTTTTCTTTATTTTATAGTCGTGTTTGTTTTGAATAGTATCATTAGCACCGATAACACATTGAATTCAACGCCATTCCAAAGAAGAAATTGAGATGAAAATTACAACAGCTATATCCCTACATAATTTGGAAAAATAAATCAATTTGAATGTATTTAACATGTTTAAAAAAAACAAATTTCTAATCATTTAACATAATATAAAGACACGATTAAATCATAGTCGAACAATAGACCTAATAAACATACGTGTGAACAATAGAATTCTAAAAAGTATTGTATATATATTTTTTATATCCGATTGTGTTTATAAAAATATCATTGATGTCAATCACATTGCTTTTTATTTTTTGGTAAGACGAATAAAAATTTATGTAATTAATAAATTTTAAAAACATGTATAGTGGAAAGAAAAAAGGTAAAACTTACCGGGTTTTCTTATTTACATTACATCGCAAAAGTTTTGATTTCCTTTCGTCCAAGTGTAACGACTGATATTGTAAGACTCATAACTAAAACCGAAAAAAATAACATTCAATAAGCAGTGGAACGAAAAAGTTTCAAAATGTAATATATACCGAGTATTCGTTATTTTATAGCTGTGAAAGTTTTGAACAGTATCATTAGCACCGAAGACCCTTTGAATTCAATTCCTTTCCATTGAAAAAAGTATAAATAAATCAAACAACAGCTATCTCCCTATATCGTTTGGCAAAACAAATCGTATTGAACGTACTTAACGCTGATAAAAAAAACAAACTATATTTTAAACGTATTATGTTTTCTTCGTTTCACAGCTGTGTGTAAGCGTTTAATAATAACGTTACACATCAAATCAACATAAGTAAAGAAAAACGGATAAATAATTTTCGGTAAAACAAATCGAATATGTAATAACATATATTAAATAATACGATTAAAGCGATGAAAACGATTTCACAAAAAAAAGTTTGAAACGAAAAGAAAAAATCGGACTTGACGGACGGCGGAAAATAAATAAAAAAGAAACCGCGAGCGGGATCAACACTCCCGTCGATAAGACACGACGGCGGTAGTTGATAAAGCCGTGTCCAACGTAAATCCGAATTGCGTCCGGCGCGTCCGTTTTCGCATCGCAATCGACGCACATTATTGCGACAATCGCATGCATGTCCAACGTCAATTTGCGTCCGATGCGTACAATTTAGAAATCTACGAATTAATTTAAAATAATATAAACCTGCCTTCAGTGCTCACAATAAGTTTCGTACAGTTTTTTCAAGAGAGTAGAATTTAAGTTTAGTATGACATAATATTATAATTAATTATATCAGATGTATATTATAATAATCAATTCCTTTTTTTTTTATTAAAATTAATGTTCTAATAACTTGTACAATTTTTTAAATTGTAAATTCTAACATTGAATAATTATTTTTCAAATAGTTTGTACAAAATCTTTAATCAGAAATTAATTACTTACTATCCATTTTAGTTTTCTCAGCCACTGCATTCCATTCTTTATCACTCACAATTCTGTCTCTATATTTTTTATGCCATTTATTCCATAAAACGCTTCTTTTTTGTACTTCCGATATTAACAGCTCCATTTTAATATTTAAATTTGTGTTTTTTAAATTATATATATTAAAATAATTGATAAATAATATAAATTAATGATTATACAACAAGGTGTTTATTTTGTATGCGTTAATATTATGTGAGTTCGTTGATAAACGCAGTGCGTTGCGTTCTTGCGTTTGAAAACAAAATTATTTGTTTTCAAACTAGTGCGTCGAATACGGCTGATGCGTTATCGGTCGTATCGGACGCACTCGCCGTCCAGTTAGGACACGTCGAATCATGTCTACGGTTTTGATTAATATTTTCATCGCATTGACCGCAACGCACTGCGTTAAACGCATTTGACGGATTTACGTTGGACACGGCGTAACAAACGGCAGCGGCGAAAATCGGACGCGACGGACGGAAAAAAAAAAAACAGATTCCGCGGAAGCGGAAACGACGCCCGTACGAATCGACGGCGGCAGAATTTCCTCCGGCAGCGGAATCCTGCAAAGAAGCCGGTGGCGATGGCTCGGAATCTAACCTGAACCTACGGGGACCTATCGGGACCTATGCCTACAACCTGTCTACCTATCGAGTTGAAAACTAATAGAAAGATTCGGGCATTTAAACCGTTCGACGGGAACATAAGGTAGACGGAAGATCGATCGGTGACGTCGCCAACCCCTTTCTCACATTCAGAAAACAAAAGTACTTATCGACAATAATTAAAAAAAATATACAGAATGAATATATAAAAACATAAATAATTTATGAAAGACAGAGTGTGGAAGTTTCTTGTAATCATAGCATATATGTGCTTTTAAGCTTAAAGAATATGTGAAGATAATGTATACAAATATAAAACTTAACATAATCAAAGCAAATATTTTTATTATTATATAAAACGTTCTAGTAAGATACGGTTTAAATAAATAAACTATACTAAGACTATAATATTAGAAGAAAAGTATAATAATAACCAAGCTCTTGGGTACAACAGTACTACACTGGTGTTTGAGCATTCATTAATTCATTACTCTGCAAACCACTATGAGCAAAATAAACAATATTTAGTTTAAGATATTTTACAAAGACATTTATATCATAGAGGAATAAGAGCGTTAAATATTGTAATACATACCAAGTTTTCTTTATTTTATAGCTGGGTTTGATTTGAATATTATCATTAGCACCAATAACACATTGAATTCAATTCCATTCCAAAGAATAAAATATAATGAAAACATACCACTACTGTCTCTCTATATTATTTGGAAAGATGAATCAAATTGAATGAATTTAACATATTTAAAAAACAAATTTATAATTATTTAACATTATTTAAAGACACAATTAAATCATAGTCGAACGATAGACTTAATAAACATATGTGAACAATAGAATTATAAAAAGTGTTTTAATTTTTGTATCTGTTTGTATTCATAATAATATCATATATGTCAATCACTTTCCTTCTCAATGATAACATACAATAGCTCTGTCCTCATCATTTTTGGTAGAACAAATAAAAATGAATATGTAATTAACAAATTTTAAAAACACTTAAAGCTTATAGTACAAAGAAGGGATAACTTAATGGTTTTTCTCATCTTCATAATATCATAAAAGTTTTTTATTTCCTTTCATTTAAGTGTAAGGACTGACTTTTACGAAAACCTGAAAGAATAACATTTTATATATATTTTTTTAATTGAAAAAAAAGAGTTAAAAAATGTAATACATACCATGTTTTCATTACTTTATAGTTGTGTTTGTTTTGAATAGTATCATTAACACCAATAACACATTGACTTCAATTTCATTCCAAAGAATAAAGTATAATGGAAACATACAACAGCTATCTCCCTATATTATTTGGAATAATAAATCAAATTTATAATTATTTAACATAATCTAAAGACAATTAAATCATAGGCGAACGATAGACTTCATAAAAATATGTCACAGAAGAATTATAAAAAGTGTTGCATATAATTTGATTCATACATTTTATAACTATTTGTGACTATAAAAATATCATTAAAGTCAATCACATTCCTTCTCAATAGAAACATCCAATAGCTCTCTCCTAATATTTTTTGGTAAAACAAATAAAAATATAGTAGGAAGAAGATAATTTACAAAAGAGGTATAAAACATACTTGGTATTCTTATTTCATAATATATTGGAAAAATAAATCAATTTGAATGTTAAATAAATACACTCTTACATATACATATTTAAAAAACAAATTTATAATTATTGAACATAATAATTTAAAGACACAATTAAATCATAGTCGAACAATAGACTTAATAAACATATGTATGAATATATAATTATAAAAAGTATTGTATATCAATAATGTCAATCACATTGCTTCTCAATGAAAACATACAATAGCTCTGTCCTAATATTTTTTGGTAAAACAAATAAAAATTAATGTAATTCACAAATTTTAAATACACATTTAAAGCATATATAGTATAAAGAAAGTAATTTACTAAAAAGGTAAAACTTAATGGATTTTCTTATTTCCTCATGTTCAAGTGTAAGGACTGATACTATAAGACTTTTATACTAAAACTGAAAAAAATAACATTCAATATATATGTAATTGAAAAAAAAGAGTTAAAATATGGAATACATACCATGATTTCTTTATTTTATAGTTGTTCTTGTTTTTAATGGTATATCATTAGCACCGATAACCAATTGAATTATTCCACTCCAATGTAAAAGTAAAATGAAAACATACAACAGGTATCTCCCTACATTATGTGAAAAAATAAATTAAATTGAATGAATTTAACATGTATTTAAAACAAATTTATAATTATTTAACATATTTAAAAAATAAGTTTATAATTATTTAACATGATAATTTAAAGACACGATTAAATCATAGTCGAACAATAGACTTAATAAAGAAATGAGAAAAACATGTGGAAACAATAGAACTATAAAAAGTATTGTATATAATTTTTATATCTGTTTGTGTTTATAAAAATATCATTAATTTCAATCAAATTCCTTTTTATTTTTTGGTAAAACAAATAAAATTAATTGTAATCAACAAATTTGAAAAACATATATAAAGCAAGATAAAGGCTAAACTTACTGGTTCTTAGTTCTTACTTATCTTCATAATATCATAAAAGTTTTCATTTCCTTTCGTCCAAGTGTAACGGCTGATATACCATAAGACTCGTTTATTAAAACCGAAAAAAATAACATTCAATACGTAGTCGAACGAAAAATGTAATACATACCGAATTTTATTTATTTTATAGCTTTGTGCATTATGATCAGTATCATTAGCACCGACGAAACGTTTTATTCAATTCCATTCCATTTATAATGAAATCATACAACTATCTCCCTACATCGTTTGGCAAAAGAAATCGTATAGAACGTATTTAACACTTATCAAAAACAAATTATAATTTTTTAAACGTATTAAGTACCATGTTTTCTTCGTTTCATAGATGCGTGTGTGCATTTAATAATATCATTTCATTCATTCATTTTAAATATACATATGTAAAGAAAAAAAATCCGATTATTTTGCGGTAAATCAAATGGAATATTAAAAAATATATATTAAATAATACGATTAAGGCGTAGTTAATTGATAAATAAAATAAATAAAACGATTTCAAAATTAACGTTTTGAAAGAGAAAACGAAAAAAAAAAATTGGACACGACGGAAGGAAAAAAAAATAAATACGGCAAGTTAATTAACCACAATTGTCTTTGATAAGATACCGGCGACGGAAATCTTACAAAGAATGCCGGCGGCGGTGGACCGGAATCGAATCTGTACCTACGGGGAACCTATGGGGACCTACACCAACAACCTACCTACCTATCGAGTTGAAATCGAGCAGGACAATTTGGGCATTTAAACGGTTTGACGGTGAGATAAGGTAGAGCCACGACCGTAGACCGGTGTTGTCACGTGCGAGCGA